CATCTAATGCACCTTCCAAATCTATTCTTCAAAGATCCCATGGCACCAAAGCTAACAGGGTGCCATGAAAGAACTAAAGAGGTTAAAAACAAATGGCAATTCCTTCCTTTCCCCAAATTAGGACTGGCATTTCAGATTGCCTGCATCCCTGCTTACATTTCTAGGAATCTGCTTGATATAATGTAGAACCTTATCCCATTTACAGATCTGAGGCCTTTCCAGTTTTTTAAAAACCTTTCATGTTTGCAGAAAGAGGTTTCAAAGTAGGAACATCTTTAGAAAGATTTTGTACTGGCCACTGTTCTAAAGAGGTATAATTTTTTCGCAGTCTCTTGTAACTTAGCCAATCGTAACTTTGTTTGTATTCCTCTATAGCTTAGATATACCTTTCTCTGCTGTCACCAGTACATTTATTTATTATTCTTTTAAAGCATTTTACCCTGCTTTTTATTTGCTAAGGCTCTCACAGTGGCTTGTATGCAGTCAACTAAAATCAGAACAATTCCTGCCCTCTAGTTTATAAGCTAAGAAAGATAACACAAAAGGAAAAAAATGGGGTATAGGGAGGAAGAGCAAAGGTCTGATTCTTAAAACTAAAAGATCTTATAATAACCAGGTAGGATGGAAATAGTCAAGTAGGGTGCTAAAATGGCTACTGCTACATGATAGCTGAATTTGTAGGAAGAGAGCCAAAATCAGGAAGAGTCTTGTAGCACCTTTTTCAGACTAACAAATTTTATTAAAAGCATAAGCTTTCACAAACTATGACTTGGTGTGGCACTCCTTCTGATTTATGACTGCTGAATGAGATCTGAATGTGTCTGGTCTCTTAGCAGAGCCAATGAAATCACTTTGCTTCTCTCTCTACTGCAATACAGTCCTTGCCAAAACTGGGTTTTGTATTTCTATAATTTCTGGATTGATTTTGCATCATTACAGAAGATTCCACAGAGCAATTTCATCATGCTGGACTTTCTGTCAACAACAAAGTCTTTAGTTTATATCTTGTTTTTGGGATTATGTGGAGTTGGCCAATACAACTGGGTGACAAAGACTCACTTTTTAACCCAAGTGGCCAAACTGGAAATCTAATCAACAGTATATATTTCAGTTGAAACTGGCAGCCAGTTTCCATGAGTCATATTCAAGTTTCCATTTAGCACACGATTAAAAGTTAAATGAGTTTGCCTGATTAGTAGATGTTTTCTGCATTGTTGACTGGAAAATAAATTAGTCTGTGAATGAGGAAAATATGCCAAGAGAAATGAGCTGAACCGTAAAAGTCCATCATGGGGCAGGTTAAAAATATCTGCCAGGTCCACTCTGTAGTATGCTATTCTAGTGCCATTTAAGTCTCTCAGTTTCCTTTGAACTGTTAAGCACATTCATGAAAACACAGTATAGTGAAATAATACATGGTAGTAGTAGTAATAAACAAGGAGCAACCAAATTTGAGCAGTTTAAAAATAATTAAAGGAGTTTTTTTTCTGGGAAATTCTAATTCCTTCAGCACTTAGCACACTACTCCACCAATATCAGACCAAACAAAGCAAAATGAAAATACTTTTACAGAACAATCCTGCAGTCTTATGCTCATTTATCTGAAAAAGTCATGCTAAATTCAGTGGGATTTATTTCTGAAAATACATGCAAGATTGCACTATATCACATATTATCCTAGTTCTATCATGCAAATTTGCCAGTCTTAATCTTCTTCCAATTAACCAGTAGGAAAGAGAGCTTGTTCTCATTCTTCACAGCTGGAGAAATAAGGTAGAGAAAGAAATATTTCCCCAAGAAAATGGGCTGGATCCAAAATGGCTAGGATCCAAATTTAGTTGTTTATAACAATTGATCAAAGCTTTGTGAATCCAAGCTCTTAAGACAAAAAGACAGCTGGTGTTTCTGGTGAAAATACCAACAATATTAATCATGATTCTTGAATAATTCTTAATTATGATGATTCTTACCAACAGCCCAAATCAGTCCACTCCCAGATGAAGGCCTCTTCTGTTGAAGGTTATGGATAGCAATCGACCACACTTATCTAGTGCAGGTTGGTAGATAGATGTTTTTCAACTTCACAGTCTATGATTGGCCCAAAGTAATCCAGCTGGCTTCTATACATAAAGGAGGACTAGAACCTGGATCCCACTCCTCCTGGTCCAGTACCTTAACTATTACCCCACACTGGCTGTCATGATTAGAAAAGCTTATTAAAATCAGTGGACTAAAATTTCAGTTAGTTTGCTCTAAACATGATGAAGTCTGCATTCTACCCAAAACCTTCTTCATTCTTCTAGGCAATTCAGACAAACCATGAAAAACTGGATCGATCGATCTATCTATCTATCTATCTATCTATCTATCTATCTATCTATCTATCTATGACAAGTACATATTTTTGGCAGTTCTTTTCTAAACTCACTGAAAAAGAATGACACAGATAACATATGAGCACAAGTGGCACTGACACTAGTATGTGTCAGTTTACACAGATCCCTACATTTCAAAGTGTGGGCCAGTAATTCCAGAGGGAAAAGGAAGAGCTTTTATTCCTAAATTCCTTCTCTTGTTTCAGCTGAATTCAATTTTCTGGATATTCATCCCTGTTTTATTTCCTATTTTGTAATTCTGACACCTTATTAGAAAAGCAATCTGATCAAGGTTAAGAACTAAAATTGAAGGCATATTTGCACTGTCAGTTGCCTCATCAGAAATACAGAGTACTAACCATTTTTTGAAGGCAAGAACAGGTGATGATTTCTTCTATTCACCCACAGCACATGAATACAACCTCTACCTGTGTTTTCCTGCTCTGATTGCAAAGCAGTGTTTTCCAGTTTGAGTTGGCTCAAGTGTTGCTGTTTGATTTATCTGCTGCACTTAACTCTGTTCTAGAGCAGTGTAGAATTCTGAGAGTTGAAGTCTATAAATCTTAAAGTTGCCAAGATTGAACACACTGCACTTTGGTTGGCTATTGCACGCAGTGGCAGGAAAGCCCCCTCCCCTGGTTGGATGGTCACCATTATCCAACTCTGTAATATCTGCTGCAGCTACTGCTAGCAGCTATGTCACAGTAGCATTGTGGTTATAACATTTGCTTGATATGCAGAGAGTCAAAAAATCTAAATTGGATAGTATCCAAGTATTGATCTATTCTGTAATTATTTATTTAAAAGATCACACACAGAAATGTCATAGGCAACTTCCCCATGTAGATTTCTTGAATGTGCACATTTTGTGTGTACAGGACCAAATCACCTAAGTATTTGCATGTACAAACCATAATAAACCAGCCTCTCTGGCTGCTGTATGAGGTGACTCATGCTCGTATGACTCTTACCGGATGCTCACGTAATCTCCCTATTAACTTGGAATATTGCATGCTGGTCAGGACCATCAAAAGACCAACCTTTCTTTGATTGCCTATCCTGATTTGATATTCTTTTTTTTACAGGAAACCTGGGCCACATCAGAGGTGGAGTCAGACAGTTACTAGGTCAACTCAATCTTAGCTAACCCAAGCAAGGCAGGAGGGAGACCCAAGGGAGGTATCGCAACCCTAGTTAGTGCAGCTTTACAACTGAAATGTGTTTCTCTGCCTTCTTTAAACCCCTGGGTATCAGCCTCCCTGCTGTCCCTCAAACAGGCTGAAAATCATAGTTTTGAACATCTGCATCCCCCCTTCTCAAACACCTCCCAGAATAACAGCACCTGGAGGTATATAGAAAATTTTATCCTCATTTGCTTAGATGCATACCCTGCAGCATCAAAAATAATGGGTGGGGATTTAAATGCCAGGATGGGGCCAAATATTCACTCCCTATTCCATCAGTTTAAGACCTTTCATGACGAGATGCACTACTAAAGGGGCCCTTATACACTAGAGAATGTAAAGATCTGAAATCTAATTGGGCAGGATGATGTGTTAGATAGATTGCCATATGTTTGGAGCTGTGCATACACAATGGCTCCCTAGATGGAGATCATGAGATGACACTTTCTCTGTGGCTGCCCTGCATCTGTGAAACTCACTCCACACGACATGAGTGGGACTATCATCCACGCTAGCTGTTACGAAGATTTTACAAACACATCACTTTCAATTTGCTCACAGTGTTTAACTGCTCCGCTTAACACGTCTAACCCTCTTACCATTTTTTTTTCTTTTTAAAATTTAAATCATGTAAGTTTAATTCTATTGCAAGGTAAGATTTTACAATTTGTGTTATGTCATATATGTTTTTAATTGCTTTTAGATTTTTGACATTTTACACACCACCCAGGAACTAATAAATAAGTCAAATTAAAAATAAAATCATTCAAATAAATAAGTCACAATATGAGCATATGAACAAGTTGTTAACATTAGTTTCCAGTGGCCCCCCACATATGAGACCCTGAATAAACTCACCATTAATTCCCAGTTTAGCTAGATTGTCATTTTTACTTCCTGAAATTTTCTTGAATGCTAATGGTTTCTTCTGAACTTCGCTGCTAATGGATATTATTTGAAGTGTGCCAGAGCTTTTACTGTACTGTGTGGCTGAATAACTCTTTCAGAGCATATTTCCAGTTACGTACAATTATAATTACTTTTACCTTAAAACCAAGTGTGAATTGGGCCCACCAATTGGCTTTTTTTTCCTTAGGATAAATAAAATATCTCAAAGCCTGCTTGGGAGTGCTACTGCTTTTTATTAAAAGACATCCCACAGTACGTTAGGTGCTTCAAGACATGCTGTGCTTCCTCTACTAGAGGACAGGTGAAGGGAGCAAAGAGTTTCTGCTATCTTTTGCAAGCTCCTTTGGGTACCAGAAGCAATTGCATTCTTCTGTCTTCAGACTCACTTTCCTTCACACTAATTTCACACCTGGCTAGGTACTAGAGGGTGGATGATATAACCCAGCTTCCTAAGGAATTGTGCCATCTCTCAAATAATCATTAAGAAAGGGAAGGTATTTCAGAGGAAGAGATGAAATTGAAAGCAGCACACCTGATACTCCAAGAAAGTCATCAATGCTTGTTATGTCATCCACGGCTTCTGTGAGTACACGTATGTGATTCTCCCATGTGGTTTTATACATTTCCATGGTGCTTTTTACCACCTGGCTTTTGGGTTTGGCCGCAAGAGCTACAGCAGCATTGATAACCTACAGAAAAATAAACAGACTAACATGTTTAAAAGACCTAAAATCAGACAGAAAAGCACTTAACTGCAATCTAAGCACCCTGTATAGCAGAAGTACACCATTATGCACATTGACTAAAGATACGTATTAAAACAGAATTTAAAACCCTAAAACAGAAAAAACTTGCATTCTGATTTTTTCCCAAAGGAGAAGTACAGTATCAGACATAATAACCTTCTCAGCAATTTAAACTTCAGTTAGGGATGATGGCAGGATGCAGTGAGAAAATGCCAAGGATCCTGAACCGAAAAAGCTAGAAACTAGATCTAGCTTGGCTTCTTCATAACTTGGTAGCTTTGTGACAGAAAAAGAAGCTTTCCTTCACGTTCACATGGATGGGCAGAACATGACACTGTAACAACCAGCTCAGAAAGGATTCAAGTGACAGCAAGGATGCAGACATGGTCTGGAACCAATTATGATTCTGGCCCGGCTCAGTCTGAGCAGTTTGAGGCTTAGGGGGCAATTAGATTCTCCAGGTACCCAACTGCTAGACAGTTTCTTGCTTCTCCTTCACTTCCAGAATTCCAATCTTCAAACTAGCTGCAAGAAAACATTTTTCTACGGACACGTAGAACCCATTCTTTAAATAATTAGCATTGTAACAACCTGATTTTGTAAATACTACCCTTGAATACCAGATAGCATCCTACAATATACATGGAGAAATAACAATTACAAGATTTATTTGTAGCACAGATTATCCAGCAGCAAGTCTACTTAGGGAATGTAGAGAATGCTATTCATTAAAATGTTACTGTTTCCTCCATAGTTAGATTTTGAAGTAATATTGTATACAACTTGTTAACAGAGACAAAATGTAAATATTAGAATTGTATTTGGAAGCAATCCTTTTATAAGTCTGATTATGGGAAGACAATTCATTGTCCTTCACACATTACAAAGCTAAATCTTTCAGTGCATAAATGGTATGGAAACATGATTTAAACATATTTCATCCCAATGAAAAGTAGAATGAAAGGTTAAATAGCACACAAGTATGCATTACACATAGCCAGCTTCTAAGATTCTGTAACCTACCCTCTTTTTTCCTTTCAAGAAATCTAATTAACAAGACTGTGCGAATAAAGTCTTCTTGGGTGATAAAGCAGTTATAAGGGGCTTGACAAGTATCCCAGGTTGAAGCTAGAGGATAGGTATATTAACAAATACTACATAAAGAAAGATGTTGGTTTGCCAGAATTAAATCATGACAAGGTCCCCCTTTCATGGAATTCATTGATTACAAAAGGTTCTCTTCGTAATCTTGTAGACAAAATATTCCACATCCTTATCTATATATACCTGATGAAGATACAATAATAGAGAGGTATTATTTTTACAATATATCTTGTTTAATGTATCTGTTTAGATTTTGAAATATTCTCTCCCCTTAACTATTAATTTTTATTATTTTTGATCACACAGTCAGCCAGATGTCTAGACTGGATTTAGCATTTTTATCCACTTATCAAGTCCTTCCCAAGGAGCTGGGATAGGCAGATGGTGTTAAAAATATTGTCGCAGGATGTAAGCTGTTCCAAGTAAAGCTGCCTTTTGCAATTGACTGATGATTTTGTCAATGCCAATGGTCTTCAAGTGTTGGTCCAGATGTTTTGGAATTGCACCCAAGACACCTATTACTATTGGTATTATCTTTGCTTTCTCTTGCCACAATCATTCTATTTCTATTTGCAGGTCTTTGTACCTTGTGATTTTCTCCAGTCCATTCTCTTTTATTCTGCTGGGTATTGCAATATCCACTATCCAGACTTGTTATTATTGTTCGTCTCATTGTCAGCCAGATGTTTAGGCTGGATTTGGCATTTTTATCCACCTATTGAGTCCTTCCCAAGGACCTGGGATAGGCAGATGTTGTTGTTTGATGGTGTTAAAGGTATTGTCACAGGATATAAGGTGTTCCAAGTCAAGCTGCCTTTTGCAACTGACTGATAGTGATTTTGTCAGTGCCAATGGTCTTCAGGTGGTGGTCCAGATGTTTTGGGATTGCACCCAAGGCACCTATTACTATTGCTTTCTTTTTTTTCTTTGCTTTCTTTTGCCATTATTATTATTATTATTATTATTATTATTATTACTACTACTACGACTATTATTCACTTTGAGGATTAAATAATTTACTTTAAGCAAATTTCAACTAGAATAATTGCAACCTTTGTTTTGGTCTTTAGAATTTCAACCTTCATTAATGTTCAGAACTATTCCATTGTCACTCCTACTCCAGATGGATATATCAAAACCCAGCAGATTTGAAATACCCAGCAGTGAAAGCAGCACTGGCAATTTTCAGCAAAAACACTAGATCAGAAAGTTTGAAAGATTACTACAAACTGGAGGTGGCTGTTTAGTTTACTCCCTGTCAGAACTTTGCTTTTGACAATATATGGGCATTCCATTTATAAAAGGAAAGTCAGGTACAGAATCACACTATCTTGATGACTGATTATTTGCCATCAAGTCAGTGTCGATTCTTAGCGACCACATAGATAGATTTTCTCCATCATGATCTGTCCTAATCTGATTCTTCAGGTTTCCCAACAGTGCACCCATTGCCACTATAACTGACCCCATCCAACTTGCTGCTTGGTCATCCTCTTCTCTTTCATTCTACCTTTCCCAGCATTAAAGCCCTCTCCAGAGACCTAGAGAGATAATGCGAGCCTGCTTGGTAGTGTATGAAGGCCTTGGAGAAGATAATTCAGCTGCTGTGATATGTCGATACCTATAAAGATCAGAAGAGTGCAAGCAAGTGTGAAGAAGCAGAATAGAAAGAGTATTGATGCTTTTGAACTTTAGTGTTACTGAACACTCCTGAGAATACCATGGACAGCCAAGAAAACAAACCAATGGATCATCAAACAAATCAATGCAAGTTTTCACTTGAGGCACAAAAGGCAAGGCTCAAATTCTTATATTTTGCACACATTATATGAAAAACCCAGCTCCTTTGAACAATCCATAATCTCGGGAAAGGTAGAAGAGGATGATCAGCAGCAAGGTGGATGGGTAGACCTGAAGGACCAGGTTGGGGACAAATCATTGTGGAGAAAGTCTATCTCTTTGAGATTTGATGGCACATAATCAATCAATGAAATCAATTTCTACAAATAAAACTGTCTCCACAGATAATCTGGACAATAGTTGTAATTAAGAGATACTATCAGGCTTGCTAACAGAAAACAGTTGCACCCCCCACCAACTGTAGCTACAATAATTCCCTACTTTATTGGGTTAACCAGTTTTGGATTGCCAGGCTTTTGAGCCAGCTATACATAAAAATACATTTTTAAACATTTGACTTCTCCCTAGGTGAACAATTCAGCACCTATTTGCCTAGAGCAAGCGTGGTTCATCCCATTTAATTTTCCATTCAGAGGATACACTTGCATCCAAGACAAAGGCAGAACTGTTACCCAAGGGCTGACTAGGAGAACACAGAGGTTTCTTATTGTGCTCCAACAGCTGTGACCTTTGAGTCAGATTCCATCCTGTGTCTGCTGTTTCAGCCTAGATTAATTCATCATAAGTATCTGAGCTAGCCACCTGCACTGTTTTCTCCTGCTTCACACCATGATTCTAATACTTAGAACAGAATCTTCCTGTGTTTTGTGAAGCTTATTCTCTGGTACAGTGTTTCTCAACCTTGGCAACTTGAAGATGTGTGGACTTCGACTTCCAGAATTCCCCAGCTAGCATGAACACTGCTCTGGTACATGGACAGAGGCTTAAATCAATCATAGAAACCTACAGTTAAAAGAACCTAAACATTATCAGGCCAACTCTTGCTCAATCGAGAATCTATAATGCAGGTTTGTAACTACATGCAGGATGTAATCTATGAGTGTCCAGCCTATTCTTAACTACCTTCAGTGAAAGAGAACCCTCCACCTCCTAAGGTATTTGGTTTCACAGTCAAACAAATCTTACAATTAGAAATCTACTTTTAAAAGCTTAAATCTGCTTCCTACAATTTCTAACCATTCATTCTAGCCCTGATTTTTGGAGTAGAGAACAACTTTATGCAACAATACTATCATGTTTCCCCTTAACTTCTTCTTTCTAATATACCTAGTGCCTGGTTTCCAAGCCTGAAATATTCTGGTCACCTTAATCTGGACAAGCTTCAGTTGGCCAATATTTATTACAAAATGTGACACACAGAACTATGTTTCTGGATGTCATGTGGAGCGAACACTTCCTAACCAGCACATAGAAAGCAGGATTTCCCATGATGACACAACCTCCTCTGCACTCCCTTTTAAGTAACCACATCTTAATAAATATTATTACTATCCACTACTAATTCCTGTGCCTCCTTTTTATTAATACTTAAGCAAAACAACTAGTTTTGGTGATTTAATAACTAATTGCACTAGTTAATACAAGGGCTGAATAAAAGTAATGACTCCAATGTTATAAGTCACCAAAAGATGGCAGTACTGATGTGCTAGATGCTCTGATGTACACTTTAGCATTTGTTCTTTCACTTCAGTTGGTGGGAAGTTGTGAGAAAAAAGTTATATTGCTATTGTTCATGAAATGAAAACCTGCAGTGAATACTTGTCAGTGTGCTTTAAGCAATGCACTGTGATTGAATTTTTGACTGCCAGAGGAGTTGCTTCAATTGAAATTCACTGCCAAATGTAGGTTGACTACGTTGGTGTGAGTATTGTGCATCACTAGGCCAAAAAAATGTAAGGATGGGAAGAGCTGATTTGTGTGATCAAGAAAAAGGGGATGATTTGTAATAGCAGTTGATGAGTTTCACATGAGAAGGTTTGATGAATGAATGACAATTGGTGAACCGCTCAAAGGGAAATTGCTGTCAGACTTGTTTTATTTGGTTTGTGTTGCTTTTAGATCATTTTATCTGTACTGTCTGTGTGGTTTTACGCTTTATCTGTTTTTAGGGTATTTTGGTTTTTGGTTTTGCGTGCTGC